TTCAAATCTGTTCAGATTTAGATATAGCTCCCATATATATTCTCGGCCAATTTCACATATTTAATGCACCAAACACGGTATGTACCTCCAATTTCAATTAAATATGGAAGGTGTGACGGGATTTTGTTTAAAAGTAAACTTTGTCAAATTATATTGAAATCAGTTCAGATTGGGATATAATTTTATTAAGAAGCATTGACCCGCAACGCGTTTGCAATGGTAATAGGCTAACAGTAAAAAACTGTACAACAATTTAGTTGAGGATACGATTATTATTGGGTCCTTGCTACCTCGAAAGCTCTAATTGCACCAGAAATGCCCACTACAAAAGATTGCAGTTTCCTGCACACGTGGCATTTGCCATGAAATTAATAGATCCGAAGGACAAACCTTTCATGTATGCGGACTAAATTAGGCATGTTCCTGCCATGGTACAATAAGGAGGTGGAACAGCTTCGTAAAACTTCAGAAATACAACCCAGAGGCTATGCCCGCCTCCTGTCAGACTAGTTCAAAACTATATACAACAAGTTGTTTTCATTTTTTCATATTTTTCCTCATATTTTAAAGGAGTTAAATAGCGCGAAAAATGAATGAAATGCCTGGATATTTTCAAAATAATAAATACAAATAAAACCAGTAAAGAAAGTCTTAAAGTCGGGCGGGGCCGACTTTATGATACCCTACACCACTTTGTTAATTAAGCAGAGCTCCACATATCCATTAAAAGTTTTTATGGGAGAATTCAATCATACACGCTATGATTATAATTATAATTTAAAGTTCAAAGGACTAAATAAGCCGAAGCATTTGTATCTTTGAAATTCGGAATTGTATTGCCCATTTGGTGCACAATTAATTTGAAATCGGATAAAGATATATATGGGAGCTATATCCAAATCTGAACCGATCTCGATAAAATTTGGCGAAGATATTTCTGAGCTGTATTTGATATATTTCCCTGAATATCGTTGTTACGGAGTGCATATTACGGTTGTGGGTAACAAATATAACAAATCGGATGAATAATATATATGGAAGCTATAGCTATATCTGAACCGATCTTCACCAAATTTGACATACTAGCTTCTAGACTCGTAAGTGCCAAATTCCATCCCATTTGGACAAATATTAGACGTTTGGTGCACAATAAAAGGTAAATCGGACGAAGTTATATATGGGAGCTGTATCCAAATCTGAAATATAAATGTATTTCTGAGCTGTATTTGATATATTTCCCCAAATATTATTGTTGCATAGTGCATATTACGGCGGCGGTGGACAAAAATAACAAATCGGATGAACAATATATGTGGGATCTATAGCTATATCTGAACCGATTTCGATCAAATTTGGCATACATATTTTCAGGCCTAATTTGGGTGTATATGCAAAATTCCATACTATTTGGGCTGATATTACACGTTTGGTGCACAGTAAAAGGCAAATCGGACGAAGATATATATGGGAGCTATATCTAAATTTTGACCGATTTTCTCCAATTTCAATAAGGTTCGTTCTTGGGCTAAACAAAAGATCTTTACAAAATTTCTGGATCGGGCAATAAATGCGACCTGTACTTTGTTTACAAAAATACATGGACAGACGGACGAACGGACGGACATGCATAAATCGACTCAGAATGTGATTCTATGCAGATCATGAAAAGGAACTATGGGTCTATCTCGTTTCCTTCTGCCTGTTACAAACAAATGCACAAAGACATAATACCCTGACCACTATGTGGTGTAGGGTATAAAAATGGGCAGAAGTCGTGCAAACTTAGAAAAAATTATGATCAGCTGGTAGCTCTACCTTACCTTTTTATTGTACCATGGTTTCTGCTTTCTCATAGTCAGCTGTTCCCGGCATGTTTACGCGTTGATAGACCGAGCTATTTGTTTGTTTACGCATTAAAATATTACAATAATGTGTTGGGGGTATTATAAGTTTGATTGGGCCAAAATTATGTAACACCTCGAAATATTGGTTCTCCACATAGGAAAGTATATATGGATCTTCCTATCTCGCCGAGCTGAGTCGATTTGGCTATGTATGTCCGTCCGTTCGTCTGTCCATCTGTCCATGTTATTTTGTAAACACTCTAAAACGCTCAGGAAATTTTTCAGTTGCTCTACAGGTCGCAATTATAGACCAATCGAAACGGAAGATAGAATGTGGCTAGAGCTTAGGGCTGGGCAGAAGCCTTCCAATTTTCATTGTCATCGGGTAATATTTAGAGGGTGAAATAGAACATAACATTTGTGTTAAATTAAACTCAAATTTTAGTATGTTTAAGTCAAATTTTCCATTAAACCGCGAATATTTTTATTCCAGGCGAAATCACAAATAAAGGTCACAACCGTTATAAAGGTCACAAATAGAAACCAAAGTTTAGGACAGCGAGTAGAAATGACCACTACTTTTGTGTGACAATAATACCAACATTATTTACAGGCGATATCTGAAATACACAAAAGGCGAACTTCTGGCTTTTAAACTGATGAGTCTAAATTTGGAGATACAGAGGGACCTGTTGCTTTTGGAGATGATCTCAAAATATTTAGGGGTTCAAATGGAACAGAAACAGAAAAAAATTCCTCATCACACAATTGAAGCCAATTAACACGCCTGAGGATAGAGTTAAGGACATAGAAAAATTTTAGCATTTTGGATGAACATTGGATTATATTTAGCTGTAATACGGACCTTAACAACCAACAGCACAACGGAGTGCGTAAATATTGGGCAAATGTCCTTAATCAAAATACTAAGGGTAACATCTGGGCAGTGCTCCGTGATATAATTTTAAAAGCAAAATCTTCCAAAATAGATTGGACATTAGGGGGCTTCTAACATATTGTAGCATTGTAGGGTATCACATGGTCGGCCCCGCACGCATGTAGCCTTTGCTTATTTGTTTAAATTTTTGAATTTGTTTTGTTTCTTTTTAAACAAACAAATATTTGTTTTTAAAAATTTGAATGAATATAAAATCAAAAGGTATCTAGATGGTTTTTGTAGTACCTTTACCGTTTTTGCATATAGCTCACACACTTCGCATATAGCTTCGGTATTTGATGGACTTATTTGAAATATTTGAAGTGTGATATTCGAAGTTCGTAATGTATACAATCCCATCAGGTAGGAAATTGTGAATATGGTGGCAGCATTATTCTTGTTATGACTTTGGCAACATTTTGAAATGTTGTTTTAGTCCCTAATTGCAGATATAACATATACCGCTCACATGCTGGACCTCGGCACATATAGATATATTCTAAAACGTTTAACTCCCCGAATGATAGTTGAAAACAGTATAAGCTGTCGGCGAAACCAACAGTTTCTTTTTATAAAAAATTTAGCCTTCCTTCGCTGATAACATTTTTATACCCTCCACCATACTATGGAGGGTATATTAACTTTGTACTTCCGTTTGTAACTCCTCGAAATACTCATGTCAGACCCAACAAAGTATATATATTCTTGATCAGCGTAAAATTCTAAGTCGATTTAGCGATGTCCGTCTGTCTGTCTGTCTGTCCATCTGTCTGTCTGTCTGTCCATCTGTCTGTCTGTCCGTCTGTCTGTTGTAATCACGCTATCTTTCGAATGAATTGAGATAGATGGCTAAAATTTTGCACACATGTTTATTTTTCCAGTAGGCAGGTTAAGCTCGTAAATGGGCCATGTAGGTCCACGTTTTTATATAGCCCCCATATAACGGTACCTCCCTATATTCGGTATTTTGATGATTTTAACGACATTATTCACGCGAATTGTTTCAAATTTGGTATTTGAAGTTCGTTATAGGAACTACAGTCTGTGCCAGAAAATTGTCTGTGCGGGTCCAGGTCTTCGTATAGGCCCCGTATATCAGTACCTCACTATATTCGGTATTTTGATGATTTTAGCGACATTATTCACCGGAATTGTTTCAAAATTGGTATTTGAAGTTAGTAATGAATACTACAGTCTAAGATAGAAAATTGTCTGTGCAAGTCCATGTCTTCGTATAGCCCCCATACAACGGTACCTCCCGATATTCAGTATTTTGATGATTATAACGACATTATTCACGGGAATTGCTTCAAATTTGGTATTTGAAGTTCGTTATAGGAACTACAGTCTGTGACAGAAAATTTTCTGTGCGGGTCCAGGTCTTCGTATAGGCCCCATATATCAGTACCTCCCTATATTCGGTATTTTCATGATTTTAGCGACATTATTCACCGGAATTGTTTGAAAATTGGTATTTGAAGTTCGTAATGAATACTACAGTCTAAGATAGAAAATTGTCTGTGTAAGTCCATTTTTTCGTATAGACCCCACATAACGGTACCTCCTGATATTCGGTATTTTGGTGATTTTAACGACATTATTCACGGGAATTGTTTCAAATTTGGTACTTGAAGCTCAAAATGGATACTACACCCTAAGACAGAAAATTGTCTGTGCAGGTCCAGGTCTTCGTATAGGCCCCATATATCAGTCCTCCCCATATTCGGTATTTTGACGATTTTAGGTACAATACCCACCGAAATTGTTTGAAATGTGGTATTTGAAGTTCGTAATGGATGCTACAGCCTGTGACAGAAACCTGTCTATGCTGGTCCAGGTCTTTGCACAGCTCCAATTTAGCGGCACCTCCTTATATACGATATTTTGATGATTTTAGCTACATTATTTACCGTTTATTTCAAGTTTCCAATTTAAATATGGTAATGGCTTATGACAAGCAATGCCATGTCCACGTCGTATAGACCCCAATATGACGGCTATATTCGGTATTTTTAAAATTTTAACAGAATTTTTTAAGGATTTTATTTTTTTAAAATTTCCAAATTCGTTGCAAATGGTGGAGGGTATTAAAAGTTCGGCCCGGCCGAACTTAGTTCTTTTTAACTTGTTTAATTTACTCTTGATTACCCCTAATTTTCTTCGAAAAAAAATTAAATAAAAATAAAAATAATAAACAAAAAACGCAAGCTATTACTTACCACACAAAAACGCTTGTAAACGTAATGAAGAAAAATTTATGACTTGCAAGCGTTAAGACGTTGACTTGCGTTATATTTTTTGATGCGGTTGTTTACACACGAACGGGGAGGGAAAAATTTGGCCAATTATAAATGGTCCACGATTAATGAAATTCTTTGCCAGTCTTTGGGTTTATCTGTTTCTTGATTCTGCTAAAAAGAAAGAAAAAATAAAAAGTTGAAAAGAAAAAGTTATCAAAAAAGAAAATAATTTAAATTTATTTATTCTGCAGTTGTACGAAACGTTTTCACTAAAATAATTAAAACATAAAATAGGAACATAATCAGCTAAAATAGAAAAAGGAAACTAAAGAAAAACAAAAAAAAGAAGCAGGCAAAAAAGTGGAATAAAAACTGTACATGATCTACAAACAGTTGCAACATACATTTGGACACTTTACACATTTTTAAGCTAATGGTTTGCTAGCAGCTTCGTTTTCGCATTCCGGGCATTGGTTGGTGGCCATGGCCAGCATGGCTTAGCCAAAAAAAAAAAAAAAAAAAAAAACGAGAGCGCCTTTGGTCAAATGAATGTTAATGTAAAACCAGCCAAAAGGAAAACACAAGCCAACAAAAGAATCATGTTATTTAATTTTTCTGGATTAGCAAATTGCGTGTGAGTGCGAATGTGTTGGGGCTTAAATGTAAATGCATCCAAACGTGTGTGTGTGTGTGTGCGCTTCCTCTTTACGTTTAGAAACATTCCTAGCATGCCAAACCAAACCTCAACTACCAAAAAATGTTTTTCTTTTTTTGCTTTTGCTTCTCAAATATGGGTCGGCCATCAGTGGCGTTACATTTTAAATTGAGACAACGAGAGGCCTCTCGCCTGTTGTTGTTGTTATTGTTGCATTTTTCCTCCGCAAGCTGTATAATAACCACTTGCGAATGTGGCGGCATTAATAAATGGTATAAATTACAAACTATTTGGCCAGACGCCAAAAATTTACTATTACAACGTGAAAATGTTACCATCACCATTCAACCAGTTAGCCAACTAACCACCACCAGCCTTGATGGCATTGTGTGAAGTTGAAGAAGCAGAAGCAGAGGCATTCAAACCTAAATAGCTAAAGCTATACTTTTTGTTCTGCGAAAAAGTCTCTGTGTGTGTGGTTGTGTTTCTGGGTTTGACCAAGAATGTATGCGAATGGCATGGGAAGAATTGTAGAGTTCCAACTGAGAGTATATGAAAATTAAAATATAATAAGCATATAGAAATATTTAACATTTAAAGGAGTTATCGAATGAAAATATTTAAATCAAGACTCAAAAGTGAAAATCCGATTTTATGATACACTACACCACTTTGCTAATTTAGTTGAGCTCCACTTAACAATTAAAAGTTTTTATGGGAGAATTCAATCATACACGCTATGATTATAATTATAATTTAAAATTCAAAGGCCTAAATATGCCGAAGCATTTGTATCTTTTAAATTCGGACTTGTATTGCCCATTTGGTGCGAAATTAATTTGAAATCGGATAAAGATATATATGGGAGCTATATCCAAATCTGAACCGATCTCGATAAAATTTAGCAAAGATATTTCTGAGCTGTATTTGATATATTTCCCTGAATATCGTTGTTACGGAGTGCATATTACGGCTGTGGGTAACAAACACAACAAATCGGATGAACAATATATATGGGAGCTATAACTATATCTGAACCGATCTTCACCAAATTTGGCATACTAGCTTCTAGACTCAATTCGGTCGTAAGTGTCAAATTCCATGCCATTTGGACAAATATTAGACGTTTGGTGCACAATAAATGGTAAATCGGACGAAGTTATATATGGGAGCTATATCCAAATCTGAACCGATCTCGATAAAATTTAGCAAAGGTATTTCTGATCTGCATTTGATATATTTCCCCAAATATTGTTGTTACAGAGTGCATATTACGGCTGCGGAGGACAAAAATAACAAATCGGATGAACAATATATATGGGAGCTATAGCTATATCTGAACCGATTTCGATCAAATTTGGCATACTTATTGGCATACTAATTTGGTTGTATGTGCAAAATTTCATACTATTCGGGCTGATATTACTCGTTTGGTGCACAATAAAAGGCAAATCGGACGAAGATATATATGGGAGCTATATCTAAATTTTTACCGATTATCTCCAATTTCAATAGGATTCGTCCTTGGGCCAAACAAATGTTGTTTGCAAAATTTCATCTCAATCGGATAATAAATGCGACCTGCATTTTGTTCACAAGAATACATGGACAGACGGACGGACGGACAGACGGACAGACGGACTGACATGCATAAATCAACTCAGAAAGTTATTCTATGCAGATCATCAAAAGGAACTATGGGTCTATCTCGATTCCTTTTGCCTGTTACAAACAAATGCACAAAGACATAATACCCTGACCACCTTGTGGTGTAGGGTATAAACAGAATGCGATGCAGCCAAAAGCGAGTTAAAGTCTGGTGCGGAATTTGGTCCAGAGGCATAATTGGCCAATTTTTCTTCGAAAAGGAGCAGGAAGTGGCCGGCTCAGTTTAAATGAATTATTGTTCACAAAAATTTAAGAGTGGATATAGACAATTTTTGGTTTCAACAGAACTGCCAACCGAGGCCACTATTTGAATGAAAATATATATGGGTGCTATATCCAAATCTGAACTGACTTCAATAAAATGTTGTAAATTAATTTTTGTACCAAATTCCGTTACACATTTCTAATTTGAAGACTTTATCCACAACCGGTTAACAGATATGTGCATACAAAATCTATATTTTTGGATGTACCTACGATTATGGTGCTATATATTTCAGGTGATGCTGTATTATATTTGGAAATTTGCGGGAAACACTGTTTAGCAGTATTAGAGCATATAATTACAAAAAAAAAAAAACAATCAAACGTACAAACATTTTCCTGTTTACAGATATAAATTTCAAAGGGAGTATTTTAGATAATTCAGCCAGGATCAGTGAGACTGATTGGCTTTTAATTGTAAATAGTCGGTGTTGGTCCCTAAAGCATTGTTGTTAGCCCATCGTGACAGATTTATAAGTGTGCACTGCATCTTGTTTTAATTCCCGAAGAAAGTACCTAACTTACCACCATACTGGAGTCCTATTTTCGTTTTTTAATCCAGTTAAGTAACTAACTATTTCAAGTTCCATGGCTTGGTTAAACCATGGGTAAGTAACTTAGTTTGGATTTTTTTTTGGATTTTTGTTTAGAAAACTGGAGTGGTATTTACTTCTTTGTCAATAAGTAAACATCTTTCCCAAACTTCTTCTACGAAAAAAATCGTTGTCCTTGAGGACTCAGTTTTTTTCCTAAATAAAATTTCAATTTCTTCAAAATCTCTTAACAACCCTCCTCTTTCACAGCATACCAACGATAAAGCGTATGACTGGCTGACTGACTGCTTAACTCGTCTGGTGTCTAGTTATTCATTCGACCGTGTTTTTTGTTTGCATCGACAAATTCATGCAAGTGTCTCAACTACTTTTTTTCTTATTTCAACTCAACTCATGCATGAGCTAGTTGGATTTTCTTTCTTTTTCCAGCTTACCTCCCCTTAGGCATTCATCAGCTACGTTTCCACTTCGTCATCATCCGTTTACTAGGCAATGTGGAAAAATTGATAATTAGCTTCGAAAAAAATAACTATAAACACTGAATAAGCCAACAAACAAACCAACGCACACACACACACCAACACACACAACAGCAACCTGTAAGCGAAACTGGGCAACCCGCGCACAGCCCCAACATTGAAATGTAGATCAGTGGATCAATGGCGCATGGATAGAAAAAAGCTGAGATTGGGCCAGAAGAAGAAGAAGCAAAAGAAAAAAATCGTAGTAACAGTCACATGCAACAAGAAAAACATTTATACAGTTGAGGCTTACCGTTGCAGGCCTTTTCAAGTGGAATACAACAACAACAATGACGACTCATGGCAAAATCACGGTGTTTCGTTTTTTCTTCGTCGTCGTCGTCGTCGTCGTCGTCTAGAAAGACAGGAGTTTTCATAACTAGCTTATAGCTAAGATATGTTAGCGATATAAAAAATATTTTGTTGTTAGTGGTGCTGTTGGGGCATTACTCTGTGCTCTCTTTCAATAAAAATGATGAATGGCATAAAAGCATGATAACTATGATAGCAAGTAGGCAATGCAGCAACAGCAACCTATACGCCCCAACCGCCTATTGATTTTTCTTCACCCAGCACCGACCAACCACCGTGGAATATTCCCTTTAAACACAAATGCTGATACTGTAATGTTGCAGACTGAATGCCTGCCTTGCTGGCTGGCTTGAAGACTATAAAACAAAGACTTCGTGGAAATTACAGCGCATAAATAACCATTGAATAAATTGCTGGATGGCTGCCTGACTGCATGCCTTGCTCACTCACACTCAGTGACTGACTGCTTGGAGATAAATATTCGCCTCTTGGTGCATTTCAAACGTAAAGTTAGCTGCGCATGCGCTCTTAACAAGTTAACAACAAGAGTTGGCAGCATCGACCAAACAATGCAAATAAATAATTAAGTGCAATTGGATTAGACGCATTAGGTGCACAGTGGTAAGAAAGTTCTACTCTTCTGTGAGAAAATCTTGAAGGAAATTCTCTCCAGATCCTCAAAAGAAAATTCTCTCTATATTATAAGAGAAGCTCTCTAGATCTTCCAGATTTATGAGGTTCACCATATTTTTGATTAGAATATATTCATATATTCAATGAGAATGTCTTCATATGTGTTTGAGAAGATCTCCAGATTTTCTGTGAGGAGATCTCCAGATATTCTATGAGAAGATCTCCAGAATTTCTTCTCTAGATCTTCTAGGTCTTCTATGAGAAGATCTCGACATATTCGATGAGAAGATCTCCAAATCTTCTATAAGAAAAGTATCCAGATTTCCAAATCTTCTATGAGAAGACCTCCAGATCTTCTGTGAGAAGATATTGTATGAAAAGTTCTTCAGAACTTCTACGAGAAGATTTCTATATATTGATGAGAAGATCTCCAGATCCTCTATGAGAAGATCTCCAGATTTTCTATGAGTCCTCTGAGAGAATATCTCCAGGTCTTCTATTGGAAAAGTCTCCAGTTTTCTAGATCTTCCATGAGAAGACCTCCATTTCTCCATTCTTTTCATG